ACTTTTCGCTATCGAATTATGCTACCATCTGTTTTAATGGGAGGTAGCAAAATCTGACAGGGTAGCACAAATCGTCAGAACACCGGCCCTCAAATGAAACTAACTGAATAAGCCCTGTCATAAAGCATAACATTATGACCACACAATCTATTGATGTTCGGGCGACGCAAAATGTCTTTTGGCGCTCCTTGCACAGTTAACTAAACGTAAAAGCATTCAAAACAAATCACTCAAGTCTTTTGTGACATATTTTGTAATATGTAAATCTTTATTGAAAGGACGAAGTATGATGATAATCCCAACGAAAAGCCAAAACGCCATAGCCTACTGCTGCTATGGTTACAGCGTGATTTCTGTTATTAAAGGGCGTTTACCGAACTCGTAATCTAACTTTCGTGGTGACTGAAATGTTTGAAAGCCCCTCAAACCTTTTCCTTCTCCCATTGCTGGGGATTTCCGAGACCCCCATCGCACCGTCAACATTAGATAACCCTCTGCGTCCTAGCACTGATTGCCTAGAACTGATTGCCTTTTAATATTACACAAATTATTACACTACACGAATGGCTTTACATTAATACCATACATTAACAGTTCACCATCTAATAGTGGTCAGCGATTAAACCAATCATTTAAAAGAGCAGAAGTTTTCTTACCTTGTCGAGACGCGTTTGCCCTGTAGCTGTTCAGCAAGTGAACTTTAGAGGAACGTTTCCTGTGTGTGTGTGTGTGCGCGTTCCTTCCTTCCTTCCACACCTAACGGGACAGGTAGCTAACTGACACAGCAACTCAACCGAAGGACGTTAAAAGAATATGAGACCAATTTAAAAGGCACTCGCACCGGCGGACACGACAAGCATGTTTAGAAACAATAACAAGTTTCTGAATTAAAAGGACAAGCTGTTTGTTTGCTCTGCTCCAGGAGTTCTTTGTGTTGTCAGATGAGTGCTGCTGTACCTGCGTTCGTGCTTACGGGAGCGAGACAGCACCAGTGCTGCCGATTGCTTATGGGCGGGGCTGGTGCGATGTGGGCGGGGCCACATGCTGCTCTGTCTTATTGTGCTCCCTACTGTCCAGTCTGATGATTCTTCTATCTAAAGTATAGAGGCAAATTATTTTTCAATGCTTCAAGTTTGAAACACAACATTATATTTTAGAGTATTTATTATTTATTTGTAAATTACATTAATAATTGTATTATTACTTGTAAGTTATTGTTAATATTATTGTTAATAATTGTAAGTGGTCAAAGAAGAAATCACAATTCGGACAGTTTAAAAGAGAATTTGACCAATACAGAGCTAGGAAATCTAATGCAGTGGTGGATTTTTTTTTAAATATGTTGAATCCTTATGCAGTCTTATTCAAACAAAGACTTTTAATGTAGTACTCCTATGTATAGTTATTTTATACAGATATTTGTATAAACTTTTTTCATTCTTTTTTTTTTTTTTGTATTCTTGCTTGTT